CGTGGTGAAACCCCATCTCTACTAAAAAAGATACAAAAATTAGCTGGGTATGGTTGCTCACACCTGTAATCCCTGCTACTGGGAAGGCTGAGGAAGGGGAATCACTTGAACCTTGGAGGTGGAGATTGCACTGAGCCAAGATCAAGCCATTGTACTCCAGCTTGGGTGACAAAGGGATTCTATGTCTCAAAAAAAAAAAAAAGTTTACAAAAATAAATGGCTGGCATATATTTTCAGACTAAGTGTCTTAAATGGTTTCTAGAGTTAAGAAAAAAAATCCGTTGTGTTTATCCAGGTGTGATTATACTGTACAGAATTGGTCCCCTGTCATCCAAACTTTGGAGAGTCTGATACACAAGAATGTTATTTAGTATGATCAGTAAATTAATAAACTAACAACCGTTTAAATCTAATATTTTATATCAGTTGGTATAGCTAGTTAGGAGTTTAGATGACAGAGGTGTTCATCTACCTCAGAAGAAGGAATGATGCCTGGATTAACAGCCTAAGAGGATATTTCTAGCAGATACTTAATATTGTTTCTTAAAGTTAGAGATGCTTACCTGGAGGCACAATGATACATCATTCTAAGCCATTAAAACTTTTTATAGTAATTTATTTTGATTGTTTCTTATTACTCATACAAAAGAGAAAATCAGATTAAAGAAAGCTTGGGTGATCAAAATTAATCCTTTTTATTATTTTTATTTGAAATTGGTATTTTTTTTTTTTACTTTGGATTTGCTCTTGACAGTAGTTAAGAAAGATTTTGAAATTCTTCTCTATTTTGTGGAGGTTTTAGATGATTTTTTTTTTACTTTTATTTTTTATTTTATTTATTTTTTTGGTCTTTTTAAAATTGCATTTTAGGTTTTGAGGTACATGTGAAGGACATGCAAGATTGTTGCATAGGTACACACATGGCAGTGTGATTTGCTGCCTTCTTCCCCATCACCTATATCTGGCATTTCTCCCCATGCTATCTCTCCCCAAAGATGATATATATATTTTTTGAGCCAGGTTCTCACTCTGTCACCTGGCCTGGAGTGCAGAGGCACAATCATGGTTCACTATAGCCTCCACCTCCCAGGCTCAAGAGATCCTGCCATCTCAGCCTCCCCAAGTAGCTGGGACTACAAGCACACACCACCATGCTTGGCTAATTTTTGTACTTTTTGTAGAGGTGGGGTTTCCCTATGTAGCGCAGGCTGATCTCAATCTTTTGGGTTTAAGCAACCTACCCACCTCCATCTCCCAAAGTGCTAGGATTATACGCCTGAGTCACTCTGCCCAGCCTTAAGATGATTTTAGATTCAGGATTTAAGATCTTAGAACCATAACATTAAAAAAAAAATTATTATGTATATTTTGTTTAGGTCCAGTACTTCCCTATGTTTTAACTACAGAGTATAAGAAACTGAATATTGTAAGCGAAATAATGAAAAAAGTCATTATATATACTGGTATACTTATAGAATATTTCTAAACTGTGGAACTACTAACTTAAGGCTTAATGATTCAAACTAAGAAGTGACAAGAGGTTCTGTAAAATTTATGGGTTTCTTAGGAGGATTTAATGAATAATACCTCCTTTTCTATTTTGGTTTTGAACCAATTAACAAGAGTGACATAAGTGGGCCAAAATAACTTTATTACTGATTAAAATATATTTTGAAGATGTGTCTTAGTGGGGCAGCCAAATGGACACATTAACTGAACCACAAAACATGTGGCTTGTACACTCACTCATGGAAGTGCCAATCCAGTGAGGAGGCTGAATAAGTGCCCTTGCTCATGTTCCCTAGCTAGGCTAGATCTCAAGAAGAAGATGAGTGAGGCTGAGGCTAACATACAGTATTTTCTTCACAATCAGGTAACTTATTCCATAAGCGGGTATATTAATTAGCTGAGGCTGCTGTAACAAATTACCACAAACTTGGTGGGTTAAAACAATGGAAATTTATTTTCTCACAGGTTTGCAGGCCAGAAGTCTAAAAGGATCAGCAGGGTTGGTTCCTGTTGGAGGCTCTGAGGGAGTATCAGTTCCATGCTTCTCTCCTAACTTTTCGTAGCTGTAGTGGTCCTTGGCCTTTTTCGGCTTGTAGATGCATAACTTTAATTTCTGCCTTCATTTTCACATGGTTTTTATACCCTGTCTCTCTCTGTTTCCCTTTCTGTCCTAAGGACACTCATCATTGGCTGTAGGGCCCATATTTCACAATGTTCTCATCTCTAGATCCTTACCTTAATTATATCTGAAAACAGCCTTGTTCCCAAATGAGGTCACATTTATAGGTTCCAGGTAGACTTGGCTTTTGGTGGGGCCCCTATTTAACCCACTAAAAGGAGTGGAGAGGCCAGAAGTTGGATTAATTAAATAAGTAAAGTTGCTGCTTGCTTGGAATTCAGCACTTGGGACAGGTGTTTCTCCCTATCCTGCATTCCCCAGATCTTTATTCTCATAGTCAACCAGATGTAGGAGATCACCAAAATAGTCCTATTCCTGCCCTATGTTTGCGTCATTGGCATATCTTCAATTTGTCTTTCTTTGACAGAATCTTTTAAAGTGACTTACCCATTTTATGAGCATTAGAAGGTAAAACTAGGTAATGTAATACATATGACGGTTTAACTGTGCACAAAGAACAAGCAGTTTGTCACAATACATTGAAAACAAGGGAAGGTGTCATGCCAACACCCAGGGATTTAGAACTACCAAAATTCCACAAAGATGCCTAGTTACCTGTGTTGTATGGATTGTATGGATTGAATAAGGGGTACGATTATAGCTCTGGATATCAAATATTGGTAAAGTTGGACTTTTTTTGGCTACTAAACATCACATAAAAGCAAATGTTTTCCTCCTACATTTGAATGGAAACATAGTGCCTAGGATGCACGAGTCTCACTTTGGAACACATAGGCCTAGATCATCACCAACTGTGTGGTGGGTTTTTTGCAATGATGTAAGTGGCCTAACTGTGCTCTCCACGTATAGAACACTTGAAATATGGCTAGTATGACTGAACAATTGAATTTTAAGTTTCACTTAATTTTAATTAAATGCAAATTTAAATAGCAACATGTGGCTGGAGGATTGTATTGGACATCACAGACTAGATATTTGTCAATGCCTAGGCTGAAAATATTGGGTACTAAAATAAACAGAATTATGACTTTACAATAACTATAACATGCCCGTGATAAATGTCCTTATTTTAATGGCATTAACAAAACCAAAAGAAAAAGTTTATCCTGAATTAGCAGCTTATCTATACTTGTTAAGAGTTTTGGATTTGCTTCAACTTGGAATTTTTTTTCTTAAGTGAAAATTAGATGAAATTTTAGATTCTCTTTTCTAATTATATTCTCTAGGCCTAAATTTATTGTAACAAAATTATTCCTTTTTTAGGCAAAATACTGGTAAATATGGAGTAGAAATTTTTCAACCTGGGAACATGCTTGCTCAAGAAATTTAGTGTAAATATTTGCAGTCATTTTACATTTCTCTTTGCTGAAAATATAAATTAATATGAACAGAAAAATTTTACTTAAAAGCCTATTTTTAAGAAAGTCTTTCTCCCCTAAGGTATAATAATACTTAAAGATGTAGAGGTTGTCACTTTAAATTTATTTTTCAGACATGTAAGCGGATTCTACTGTTGTTTCTCAACTTTGCTCTAAATATATTTGTTTTATTTTTATATTTTTATCTTTGATTGAAATTTGGCTAACACATATAGCATTAGATTTAATATCAAAGTTAAAGTTTTTATTTTAAAAATGAAAATGTGAAAATATGTTAATTACAGCTCATACTTCTTGAACTTTATGTAGTTTTGGTAGTATTGTATTCTTCATGTATACCAGAAGAGGGTGCACTTTAAACATGATGTCTTTGAATAGAAAGCATTCTTTTGTTGTTGTTGTTTTTTTGAGACAGAGTTTTGCTCTTGTTACCCAGGCTGGAGTGCAATGGCGCGATCTCGGCTCACCGCAACCTCCGCCTCCTGGGTTCAGGCAATTCTCCTGCCTCAGCCTCCTGAGTAGCTGGGATTACAGGCACGCGCCACCGTGCCCAGCTAATTTTTTGTATTTTTAGTAGAGACGGGGTTTCACCATGTTGACCAGGATGGTCTCGATCTCCTGACCTTGTGATCCACCCGTCTCGGCCTCCCAAAGTGCTGGGATTACAGGTGTGAGCCACCGCGCCCGGCCCGTTGTTGTTTTGAGATGGAGTCTAGCTTTATCACCTCAGGCTGGAGTGCAATGGCTTGATCTCAGCTCACTGCAACCTCCACTTCCCAGATTCAAGAGATTCTCCTGCCTTAGCCTCCCGAGTAGCTGGGATTACAGGTGCACGCCACCATGCCCAGTTAATTTTTGTATTTTTAGGAGAGACACAGTTTCACCGTGTTGATCCGACTGAGGTCACAAGCTCCTGACCTCAGTTGATCCACCTGCCTCAGTCTTTCAGGTGATCTGCCTGCCTCAGTCTTTCAAAGTACTGGGATTACAGGTGTGAGCCACCATGCCCAGTCCAGAAAACATTTTTTTGGACTGCTGCCATAAATTTGATTCCCTTAAAAAAACTTCAAAGTTCTTTATTTTCAAAATATCCCTTAATGTGCAAGAAGGGAGAAGCAGGATGTGTGTGTATGATTTAGCGTACATAAGACTAACAAATCAATAAATAAACCTTTCATCCAGAAACATATCTTTGTTTTTCTAGGGTTTTCTTTTCTCATTACCTTCTGAAAATAAATTCAGAATTATTAAAGAAAAATTATTCTTCAGGAGACCGTTTTGAAGTTTTTTGTTTCAATATCAAAACAAACAAACGCCTGATAATATATAATTTCAGTTTCGCTCTTAAGTGAAGGTATTACAAATCATAAAGCATGACCATTAAGGAAAAGAGAAACACTATAAATGAAAGTACAGCCATGAATAGAGTTTCATGACTAGAAAGTGATTTTTATTCTTTTGTGTTTTGACAGCTTGAAGGTCCATGTGTTTTGCAAATTCAAAAAATTCGCAATGTTGCTGCACCAAAGGATAACGAAGAATCTCAGGCTGCACCAAGGATGCTGCGATTGCAGATGACTGATGGTCATATAAGTTGCACAGCAGTAGAATTTAGTTATATGTCAAAAATAAGGTGATTGGCACTTTATTTCGTGTATTTGTTATAGAGTGTTGAAGGTGCTATTCAGTGGAATAATTTAAGAATTTAGAAAAGGAGGAATGGACACTTACATTATAACTTTTCATAGGAAATTAGAGAGCTTTGCATTTCTGCTTTATCTGTATAAAAATAGTTAAGAATAATATGGCCTGGGGATGTGGGTCATACCTGTAATCCTAGCACTTTGGGAGGCTGAAGTGGGTGATCACCTTAGGTCAAGAGTTCAAGACCAGCTTGACCAACATGGTGAAACCCTGTCTCTACAAAAATACGAAAATTAGCTTGGCATGATGGCGGGTGCCTGTAATCTCAGCTACTCGGGAGGCTGAGGCTGGAGAATAGCTTGAACCTGGTAGAGGGAGGTTGCAGTGCACTGAGATCATGCTGAGGGAATGTGTTCTCCTTCCGGGTCCACAAGGGGGCGTAGTTTTAAGGGTAAGAACTTCCTAGCGCCATGCCCCTTCCCATCTGTCTTCTTCCGGGAAATTTAACAGTTTATGTTTAAATTTTACCGGCACAGGAAGAAACTAAGAAACTCTTTTTGTATATTTAGTAGAGACAGAGTTTCACCATGTTGGCCAGACGGAGGTCACAAGCTCCTGACCTCAGGTAATCCACCTGCCTCAGTCAGTCACCCCAGTGGAAGTTTAAAGGAACTCCTTTCATTGGCCAGAGGAACTTGGGGAGGTGGGGAATTTCTCCCATGATAAATTCCCCTGCTCCTTCACCCACACCGGATTTCCAGCTCTCTGGAATCCCCTCCCACATAGTGGGAGCTCCCTTTCCTCTCTTGGAATCCCCCCCGCCCCGCCGGTCCCTTCCACTCTCTTCATGGAAATTTTTCTCTCTTCTCCTTTTTTCCCTCTTTTCTCTACCTAAATAAAATCACCTTTCTGCAACACTTCTTGGGTCGGGTATTTACTTTACAAGCTTACAGTCCCCTCTCTCATCCTTGAAATAGCAGAGACCAAGAACCTACAACATTTTTGTGGGGGAGCTGTGCCTTACCCGTACCCTAAAAACCCGGTTACAATACCATTGCACTCTAGCCTGGGTAACAGAGTGGGACTCCAGCTAAAAAAAAATAAAATAATAGAAAAAAAAAATCATAGTTAAGAATGTAGTTACTTCTTGATTCAGTGTTAATTATAAAAAAATTTATGATGTTCTTGTAGGAAAGTAATATTTTTAGTTTTGTCTGATATTTTAGGTTACTCAGTTTAGAACAAACAATTTTTAAAAATATGGTTTCATCTTTGACAATTCATTAGCTATATATAATAGTGTGTCCATCATACTGTTTAATGTTCTTGCAGTTTTATAGGCTAATGAATTTTCCTAGGAAATGATTGAAGTCAGGGAGGTTTGTGACTGACTTCAGTCATTTGCTAGGAAATGTTTTGGAGTGATTTTCCAAATCCTTCATTTGGTTATTTTAATAAGAGACTTTCAGAGTCGTGCCCATTGGAATGGAAGAAAGCAATAAGAAGGAAGGGAAAGTGTCCCCTTTATCTTCAGTGTTTCCATTTGGCCATTCTGAGCTCTGTTTTCTGAGGTGGTAACTTCCACTAGATATTTGCATCCCTCCTCCCAACTGGCTTTTTTGGTCTTCTTTGTCATTTTATATGCTTACATTTGCAGCTCGGCTCCTCAGCTTTTTTACTTAATATGAACTCCTATATCATACTTTTCTCTTGATCAGGCATTTATCAGGTGTTCCAGCCCTTTACCAGTGTTGGAGGTACAAAGGTAAACAGGGTTTAGATTTCAGCCTCTTAGTAGCTCATATGCTAATGAGGTAGCACTTAGGCATGCAAATATTATAAGAAATATATAAACTGAAATGACTAAGAGTCCCGAAAATTACTTCTGCCTAGGGTAACCAGGAGTGGGTTTAAAATATGAGTAAGTGTTTTAAGGCAGGGAGGGAATAGCACATGCAAAGAGACAGTGGTCTGACAACAGAAATACTGAGAAGTTACATTTGGTGGAGCATAGGTGATTTAGAACAGTGGGTATGTGAGAAGAAATGTGGTAGGTTGAGGCCTTGTATGATATCTTCAGTGATTTCTTTTTTCTTCTTTCATCTAGTATCTGCATCTGGTAAATGAGGCCCCCTCCTCAGAAGATGTATGTTTGTCTAAAATGTTAATTCCTGTACACTAAGGGAGATTTGTTGACCCTGTGATTATGTTGTCTTCTTTTTGAAGAGTAGGATTCCTACTTTTGTGTAGAAACAGCTTTTCAAATTATGACAAATTCAGTAACACCCCTTGCAAGGGAGCTCACAGATGACTCAGAAGGAAGACTTACCATGTAATGGCTCACTCATTTTATGGCTGTATATTTCTCTGAGGAATAAAAACACAAGGTCTATTTAGCATTGGGCAGTTGTAGCATTGGGAAGTTGTAGCCTACTCTGCCCAATGCTGTCTACTGTCATCCCTTGTTGAATTTATTGCAGCTTGCCAACTGAAAAAAATTGTCATATGTTCTTCACTCATCATTGAAACAGCTTGCCTACTTTTGGTGCCATAAAAATGACAAAATAGCTCTTACATGTAAACAGTTTGAAAGATATTTTACCAGATAGGTTTGTAGTTATCTTAGAAGGAAGATGAAACAACTCTCTAGATAGGATAAACCAGATGCTGATACAGAGGTGTTACCTTTCATAGGCTTTGCATTTCTCTGAGGTGCTTGTTTCTACTCTTCTGTCCTACCTTCTGCCCCATCCCTTGCTAGTTTTTTTTTTTTGAGACGGAGTTTCGTGCTTGTTACCCAGGCTGGAGTGCAATGGCACGATCTCGGCTTACCACAACCTCCGCCTCCTGGATTCAGGCAATTCTCCTGCCTCAGCCTCCTGAGTAGCTGGGATTACAGGCACGCGCCACCATGCCCAGCTAATTTTTTGTATTTTAGTAGAGATGGGCTTTCACCATGTTGACCAGGATGGTCTCGATCTCTTGACCTCATGATCTACCCGCCTTGGCCTCCCAAAGTGCTGGATTACAGGCTCGAGCCACCATGCCTGGCCTAGTTTTTTTTTTTTTTAATTGCAATGAAGAGAGATTAAAGGAACCTTGGGATGCCAATAAAAATATTAACCAAAATATGTTTTCTTAATAAGAATTGATTATGGTTCTGAGGGTGATAGTAAAAATTGTATTAAAATTTTAGTCCCTAAGTAAAAAGAACAGAGCTGGAGGTCTCATATTTATTACCTGGTTTCAAACTACACTACAAAGCTATAGTAAGCAAAACAGCACGGTACTGGCATAAAACCAGACACATAGACCAATGGAACAGAATAGAGAACCCAGAAATAAATCCATAGACTTATAGCCAACTCATTTTCAACAAAGGTATCAAGAACATACATTGTGAAAAGGGCAGTCTCTTTAATAAATGGGTCTAGGAAAACTAGATAACCATATGTAGAAGAATGAAATTTCCATCTCTCACCATATAGAAAAATCAACTTAAATGTGGCCAGGCATGGTGGCTCACACCTATAATCCCAGCACTTTGGGAAGTCAAGGTGGGCAGATCACCTGAGGTCAAATGTTCAAGACCAGCTGGGCCAACATGGTAAAACATGGTGGTACACACCTGTGATCCCAACTAGTCGGGAGGCTGAGGCAGGAGAATCACTTGAACCCAGGAGGCAGAGTTTGCAGTGAGCTGAGATCATACCATTGTACTCCAGTCTGGGCAACAAGAGTGAAACTCTGGCTCAAAAAAAAAAAAAAAACCACTTAAATATAAGACATGAAAGTATGAAATTACTAGAAGAAAACATTGGAGAAATGCTTCAAGACATTGGTCTGGGCAAATATTTTTTGGATAAGACCTCAAAAACATAGGCAACACAAGTAAAAGGTAGACAATTGGGATTATAAAACTAAAAAGCTTCGGCACAGCAATGGAAACAATGAACAAAGTGAAGAGACTACCTACAGAATGGGAGAAAATATTTGCAAACTATCCATTTGACAAGGGATTAATATCCAGAATATATAAGGAGCTCAAATAATTCAATAGCCAAAAAAAAAAAAAAATCCAAATAAAAACAGACAAAAGACCTGAATAGACATTTCTCTAAAGAAGACATACACACAGCCAACAGGTATGTGAAAAAATACTTAGCATCACGAATCAACAGAGAATGCAAATCAAAACTACAGTGAGAGAACATCTCACATTGTTAGAATGCCTATTATCAAAAAGACAGAAAACAACTGCTATAGTTTGGATATTTGACCTTCCAAACCCTATATTGGAATTTGATCCCCAGTGTTGGAGGTGGGGCTTAGTGGGAAGTATTTATGTCATGGGGGAGCAGAGCCCTCATGAATGGCTTGGTGCCATACTTGCAGTGAGTGAGTTCTTACTCTGTTAGTTCCTGTGAGAACTGGTTGTTAAAAAGAGGCTGGCATTTCTCTTCTCTTTCTTGCTTGCTCTTGTCATGTGATCTGCATATACCCCTTTGCCTTCTGTCATGAGTGAAACCCTCACCAGAATTGAATGCTGATGCCATACTGCTTGTACAGCTTGCAGAACTGTTAGCCAAATAAACCTTTCTTTATAAATTACCCAGCCTCAGGTATTCCTTTATCGCAACACAAATAGACGAAGGCAATAGCAAATGCTTTTGAGGATGCAGAGAAAGGGGAATGCTCAAAGACAAATATTGAATGTTCTCACCCATGTGGGAGCTAAAAAAAATTGATCTCCTGGAGATAGAGAGTAAAATGGCAACTGGGCAGGATAGTGGGGAGTGAGTGATAAGAAGGGATTGGTTAATGGGTATAAAATACAGTTAGATAGAAGGAATAAGATTCAGTAGCATAATAGGGTGACTATAGTTAACAGTAATTTACTGAATATTTAAAAGTGATTAGAAGTGTAGATTCTTAATGTTCTCAGCAAAGAAAAGATAAATGTTTGAGGTGATAGAAACCTCAGTTACCCTGATTTGATCATTACACATTGTATATATGTGTCAAAATGTCACATATACCCCCAAAATATGTATAATTGTGGTATCAAAAAATAAAAATTTAGCCCCTATTTCCTTTTGTGGGAGTAGAACTTGTATTTAATCTGGTGAGACTATCAATTGTTCCAATGAAATTGTAGGTCCAGCTTTGACTACATAGTCTTAGGTAAATACTCTAATTCATTAGCAGTTTCTTTAGAGGAAAAGAGTACAGTAGTCTGGTGTCCTTAGTGTTTATTTTTATTTATCCCTATACATTGACTGTAAGAGTTATGAAAATCTGGATTTGCTGATTGTCTGGAATTGGGAACACTTCTTCACTATTGTAATTGTACTCAGCTGTTGCTGATCTTGAAGGCCAATAGATGGTTCTAAGTTTACTGCATTTACCACCACAGAGCTGTCTACTTAAGGGTTAGGTTAGGCAGGGCTGTTTATGACCATTCATTTTGTCAGTTGTGATTGATCACTAAAAATGATTAGGCTTGGAGCTCTCAAAATAATTTTAATGGCTTTATTGAGATAGCATTGATATATAAAAATTATATATATATATAAAATGCACAGAATAATTTTAAATATATAATCTATCTTACTCTGTATGGCCTCTTTAAAGTTTTAAAATCAGACATCCTCTATTTCTTCTTTTAGTAATTATTTTATCAATTATCTTTCTCCAAAAAGGCCGGTGATATTAGCACTCTCATTGATTTGCTCTTGCATATATTAGCATGTGGTGAATTTTATGAGGTTTTTAAGATGTGAACAGTGCAAAGCCATTTCAGAATATTTTCTAATTTATCCTAAGTTTAGGACAGACTTTACCTTAGAAGTACTATTTGCAGTACTTTACTTCTTGCTGTATGTGAGGAAAGATAGGGTGGGGCTTGGTATATATGCTTTCATTTTAGAACAAACCTAAGTGACAAATGGATTTCTTTCCTTGTTTTCGTTTGCCAAAGAGTTGGTAAGAGGGTAAACATTTTGTCTCTGGTTTTCTGTAAAAGGAGTCATGATCCAATCGACTGCTGTCACCTTCACCATTGAAGTTTTTAAATCCTGAGTCAAGCCAAAAAAAAAAAGGAAAGAAAACCAGACCAAAACAAAAAAACATAGCTATGCCAATCTCATTTTGTTTTCTGTGCAAGTCAGTGGGTTGGAGGGAGCATCCCACAAAGTTCTACAATGTGGCTGAGGACTTTGATTGTACATTGTTCTTTTTTTTAATAGTCATTTCAAATATTGTGAAATGCATCGTTACAGGAAGTTCCTTGCCCTCCCGAAAGCCACCCCACTTCTCTCTAAGGACAATGGTCCAGTCCTCTTCCGCGTGCACACAGGGGAGATATTTACACACATTGCTTTTGTGTAAATTATGTAATGCAATTTTTTTTTAATCTTTCCCTTAGTTCTTTTTTATTTTATTTTATTTTTGAAAGATGTTAGCCTCTGTGGCTACCCCTTTTTTGTCCCCCAACTTGAGATGTAGGAAGGCTTATGGTCTCCCTAAGAGTGGGTGGAGGCAGCCAAGGCTTACTTGTACACTGACTTGAGACCAGTTGAATAAAAGTGTACACCTTAAAAAAAAAAAAAAAGAGCAATGGTGTAATGTTTGCCCCATATCTGATACTATTAGCCTATTATAGAAATGTTCTTTTAAGTTAGTATATAAATAGCTTAAAATTAGAATATAAAAATCCTTTTAAAGTTTGTACATGAATAACTTTCATTTGATCTTTGACTAGATGGTGAACAAAAAAAAGCATTATTTTGTATAAATTACTATGGCTCGTAGAGATGTTAAATTTGTAGGTTTATTACTGGTCAGCTAGCTTCTGTATTGAAATTCAATCTTCTAACCAAAAAACAGTATTTTTTGCTGTGCACAGCTAAAGTTCAGAGAAAAAAATGTCAAATCTTATATTTGTATACCATAACATAGTTGAAAAAGTATTTTATGTTTTTATTCTATTTATCATGTCTTTATTTATCCCAACTTTGTGACATGTTTTGTCCACCTTTTTTTTTTCTTTTGCAAGTTAAGATTAAAGCTCATTTCTCTGTCATTGAGATAGAAAATGACAGTCTTGGCCAGGTGCAGTGGCTCACGCCTGTAATCCTGGCACTTTGGGAGGTTGAGGCAGGTGGATCACTTGAGGTCAGGAGTTGGAGAGCGGCCTAGCCAACATAGTGGAGCCCTGTCTTTACTAAAAATACTAAAATTACCTGGTCGTGGTGATGCACGCCTGTAATCCCAGCTACTTAGGAGGCTGAGACAAGAGAATCACTTGAACCCGGGAGACAGCCACTGACCATTACATGCAAGGAGCTTGGGTGACAGAGTAAGGCTCTGTCTAAACAAACAAGCAAACAAAATCCCAGTTTTGTTCCTGGTCCTCTAACTTCCTCTCTGGGGGTAGTCAGCCTCCTGAAAAATTAGTTTCAGTGTTAGCACATTTTGAAGAACCTGATTAGGTCATAATATGAAACTGAATTCTAGGTTTGGGAAAGAACTTCAACGTGTTTTGTTTTTGTTTGTTTGGATTTTTTTCTTTTTAATTTTTATTTTCAGTTCCGGGGCACATGTATGTGTAGGATGTGCAGATTTGTTACATAGGTGATGTGTGCCATAGTGGTTTGCTGCAGCTATCAACCCATCACCTAACTATTAAGTCCAGCATGCATTAGCTATTTTTCCTAATGCTCTCCATCCCCCACTCTGCCACCCTCAAAAGGCCCCAGTGTGTGTTGTTCCCCTCCGTTTGTCCATGTGTTCTGAGCTTCAGTGTGTTTTTAACTCTTTTCTCTTTGCTTTAGCCTGAACACACCACCTGGAACTAAAGTTAAGCTCTCAGGCATTGTTGACATAAAAAATGGATTCCTGCTTTTGAATGACTCTAACACCACAGTTCTTGGTGGTGAAGTGGAACACCTTATTGAGAAATGGGAGTTACAGAGAGTAAGTGTAAATTATGGCTTAAACTTTTGAAACATTACACTGTTTTTTATTGCATTAAAGAGCTCTTTCAGTAATGAAGGGTAAAATTAGTTCATTGTGTCAGAGTTGAATAGAATGGAATATGATTATCTATAGAGAAACTACCTTTGTTTAAGCATATTGTTTCTCTAAAGTAGATAGAATTTTTCAATATTTGTTACATTTTATTGCTTATATTTAAACATTCTTTTCTGACAAGTTTCAAAACTGTCAAGATACCAGTTATAAGCTATGTATAATTTATGTGTATATAATTCTTTCTGCAAAAAACAAAAGTGTGTATATATATGAATATATGTATACCCGCCTTATCTACATACACACATATGTGCAAGTAAAAGCAAGTTAGAATTTCACTATAATGAAGGAGTTCCTGTTGTGCTTGACTTCCTAGTATCGTTTGTTGATATTTTCCCCTATTTATAGTAACAGTATCTTCATCCTTCCAGTCATTTAGGTTATCTTGTGATTAATTGTTCCTCTGCTTTACTTCCAGCAACCATTTCTGTTGATCCATTGCAGTCAAATCTCATATCACTTACTTGCTCTCCAGTTCTTATTATTACTGTAGTTTAGATCTTTAGTATAGTACCCTTTTGACTGTCTATCCACAGATCCTTTCTCTATCTTCTGATTTATTTAATGTACTTCCACCAGATTTTCTTTTGTCAGCATGGTTGAGACCATGTCACACCCTGCTTTTATTTCAAATGCTTTAATTTGGGATTGAATACCATTTGTAATCTAGCTCTAGTTCCAGTTTTCATTTCATTTTCAACTTTCTAAATTCTTCCATGTAGATCTTGTTGTAACCAAATGGAATTGCCTTATCTTTCTTTGATTCTCTATGCTTTTCTCAGTTATATATTTTTAATAAAATGTTTTCCCACTTTTACACCATTCATCTTGTTTTCTCTCTTCTGATCCCTGCATAGCCAAATCATCCCTGTGCTTTTAGACCCAGATCAAATAATTGCTTCTTCTCAAGGTGAAGTACTTCTTCCTTTATTGAATTCTTTAAACATTTTATTCTTCTTCACAGTGTATTACTTTTTACCTATCACTAAAATTCCGTTCATTTCTCATCTCCTTAAACACGTAGTATGCTTTGAGGCCAGAATTTTTGTTTGTATCATTATTCTCAAGTTCTGCAAATGTTTGTTGAACAATGTATAGATATTATGCTGGGGCCTTGCATCTGTATCTCATGTTATCTACTAGTAGTCTTTTTTTTTTTTTTTTTTTTTTTGAGACGGGGTTTCGCTCTTGTTACCCAGGCTGGAGTGCAATGGCGCGATCTCGGCTCACCGCAACCTCCGCCTCCTGGGTTCAGGCAATTCTCCTGCCTCAGCCTCCCGAGTAGCCGGGATTACAGGCACGCGCCACCATGCCCAGCTAATTTTTTGTATTTTAGTAGAGACGGGGTTTCACCATGTTGACCAGGTTGGTCTCGATCTCTCGACCTCGTGATCCACCCGCCTCGGCCTCCCAAAGTGCTGGGATTACAGGTGTGAGCCACTGCGCCCGGCCTCTACTAGTAGTCTTTATAAGGGCTGTTAAATAACTTACTTTATGATTAGACAGATGATGGATCTGAACACAATCTCAGACCATTTTCTTTTGTTATACCACAGCAGCCTTTTCACAATCTCCAAAGCAGTAGTGTTGAACTTTACATGTAGTGTACATCATAAAAAATACTTATGGTGTAAATGAATTACAAAGCACATAAAAAATATTTGTGGAATGAATGAATTCAAAACTAATTACTCCTTGAGCCAAAATGTATTCTTGTGACACCCTCAAATCTTACCTGTTTTCTAAAGTCAGCCATGGGCCTAAGCAATATTTCAAGCTTCTGGTATTTTATGATACAGTACTCTCCTACTGTTTTCTTAGCTGGAAAGTGCTTGTGTTTGGGAGGTAAACAGATTCTTCTATTTAGACACACTTTTATTCCTTGTACTCATTTCTTGTGATACAAATGTACTGTGATTTGGGCTGCTGTACTATGCAATATAAAGTAATGTTCCACAATTGCAGTGTTTAATTGAAAATGTCACAAAAAAGTAATTCAGAAGTAGCTTAATAGTTTTACATAAACAGCCAGGTTTGTGAACTTTGAATTTCCTAGAGAAACTTCACCCATTTCATGTGATCCTTTCAGAAGTTGATATAATTGTATTTTTTTAATCAATAGAGGTTTTTTTAAAGTGTGGTAAAATGTTCTCAAATGTAATACCTTACATAATTTTCCCACAATCCAGCCAGGACCGAACCGCTTTGCTAACAACTGTAAACATCCCTAGGAACCTTCTCACCACCCCCACCCCACACACAGAGTTTAGTAGTAGTTTGACAGTTGCCCTTGAAATGTTTAATTATGTGTCTCTGCACTTGGCTTCCTGCAAGCCACATTAGTATTTCTTGTTAGGGAGTGATAAAAATTTACATTTAAAATAGTTTAAAAACATTTTAATATGATTATAGTTCTTTTTGGTTTTATAGTTTTTGATTTGGTAGCTACAGCAGTGTAGGAAACAGGGAACGTGCAGTTACTTGAGCAGCTGGCAGTGATATACATAGAAATTATAAACCATTTGGAAGTGAAGGAAAACTAAATATTCAGTAAACTATATGCAGGCATTGTAACTGTAGCAAGTTGATACCAGATCTAATTTACAAAATACTGTATTTCTATATGTTTTAGTGCCCCCAAATTATAGATTAAAATTTTTTTTATTGTGGTAAAGTATACATAACATAAAATTTGACGTTTTAACAATTTTTTAAGTGTAAAGCTTGGAGGCTTTAAGAACATTTGCATTGTTGCACAGCTGTTACTACCATCCACCTCCCTAACTTTTTCGTCTTCCCAAATCTTAACTCTGTGCCGGTTAAATAGTAACTCTGCATTCCTTCCTCCTCTCAGTCTTGGGTAACCACCTTTCTACTTTCTGTCTCTATGAATTTGACTAAATAAATTGCATATGTGGAATTGTATAATATGTGTCTTTTTTGTGCCTGGCTTATTTCCCTTAGCATAATATTTTCAGTGTTTATCTATGTTGCAGCACTTGTCAGAATTTCCTACCTTTTAAGATTGGATAGTATTCTATTGTATATATATATACCATCTTTTGTTCATTTATCCATCAGTGGACATTAGGGTTGTTTTCACTTTTTAACTTTTGTGAATAATGCTGTTATGAACATGGGTGCACAAATACCTCTTTGAGATCCAGCTTTCAATTATTTTGTGTGATCCAGAAATGGGATTGCTGGACCATATAATTGTATTTTTAATTTTTTGAGGAATCGCCATACTGTTTTATGTTTTCTTTACACTCATTTCCATCAGCATTGTTAAGGGTTCTAGTTTTTTCACATCTTCACCAATGGTTGGTATTTTGTGTCTTTTTGACAGTAGACATCCTAATATGTGTAAAATAGAATATCATATAGTTTTTCTTTACTTTTTAAGACGGAGCATTGCCCAAGCTGGAGTACAATGGCACGATCTTGGCTCACTGCAGCCTCTGCCTCCTAGGTTCAAGCGATTCTCCTGTCTCAGCCTCCTGAGTAGCTGGGATTACAGGTGTGTGCCTCCACACCCAGCTAATTTTTATATTTTTAATAGGGACGTGGTTTCACCATGTTGGCCAGGCTGGTCTCCAACTCCTCAGCTCAGGTGATCTGCCAGCCTCAGTCTCTCAAAGTGCTGGGATTACAGACATTCAGCCACCATGCCCAGTCTTCATTATAGTTTTGATTTTCATTTCCCAGTGCTTAGTAATATTGAGCATCTTTTTGTGTGCTTGTTGGCCATGTGTATACCTTCTTTGGAGAAATTTGTATTTACATCCTTTGCCAATTTTTAATTAGGTTGTTTATTGTTGTTGTATGAGTTATTTATAGATTCTGGATATTAATCCCTACTAAGAGAATATGTTTTACAAATATTTTTCCCATCCCATGTATCGCCTTTTCACTGTGTTGATAGTGTCTTTTGATGCACAGAATTGTTTAAAAGTTTTTTAGGTTTAGCTTTTATGCTTAGGTCTTTGATCCATTTTGAGTTAATTTTTATATTAGTTAAGGGTCCGAATTCATACTTTTGCATGTGAATATCCAGTTTTCCCAGCGCTACTTCTTTGAAAATACTGTTCTTTATGAATGGTCTTGCCACCGGCATCAAAAATTATTTGGCCATATATGAACAAATTTATTTCGAGATTATCTGTTCTTTTCACTGGACTAAATGTCTGTCTTTATGCCACACTGTTTTGATTACTATAACTTTTTATTAAGTTTCATAATTGGAAAGTGAGACCCTTTTCAGGATTGTTTTGGCTATTCAGCTTTGAGATTCCATATTAATTTTAGGATAAATTTTTCTATTTTTACAAAAAAATATCATTGGGATTTTGATAAGGATTATGTTGACTCTACAGACCACTATTGGTAGTATTGCTATCTTAACAATATTAAATCTTTCAATTCATGATCATGGGAAATTCTTTTCACATCGTTCTAAATTGTTAGTGTAGAGAAAAACAACTGATTTCTCTGTGTTGATTTTGCGTACAGCAACTTTATTGAAATTGTTATTCTAACAGGTTTTTTCTTTTTCTTTTTAGTGTGGAATGTTTTCTACATATAAGATCATGTTATCTGTGAAGAGTTAATTTTATTTTTTCCTTCTCAATTTGAATACCTTTCTTTCTTTTTCTTGCCTTATTGCTCTGGCTAAAACTTCTAATACTATATTGAATGGAAGTGATGAAAGTGACATCCTTCTCTTGTTCTTGATCTTAGAGGAAATCCTTCAATCTTTCACTGTTGAATATGATGTTAGTGGTGGGTTTTTTTATATATGGCTTTTAATATGTTTGAGTAGTTGCTTTCTATTTTTAGTTCATTTTATGTTTTTATTATAAAAGTGTATTGAGTTTTGTCAG